GCGGGCCCCTGGGTGGCGGGCTGGGCTCCTCTCTACCACAAGCACGTTAATGGCAGCTTCCCTTAGCACCGTCCGGGGCAGCGCCAGCCACGGTGCTTCTGGGGCACAGCCCCTCCTGGGCGCGTTTGTGGGTTCCTCCGAGCCACAGACTCTCCTGTGGTGGGGCCTGTGTCCTGCCACCCCCAAAAGGGTGCACAGGCTCTAAAGAAGGAAAGGCAGTGGGTGTCCTGGCAGTGCTCAGCACCCTGGTAGGCATCGTTAGCCCACCAGCTCCTTCCCAGTAGCTAAACTGCTGTTAATATTTTCAGGAGGGAGGTTTCTGGGGAGCTGTCCTGACCTGTAATTGCATAGAAGTTCAGATTGTCTTTAATGGCTTCTGTGATAGGAGTGAAAAGTAAGCATCAGAGAGAGTGAAGCAATTACATAACCTGTTAAATCATTTGTGTTAATTCCACTAATTTGAGTATTATGGTACTACCTTACCTATTATGCGGACTCAGCCTCCTACCAGGGTGTTGTCAGGCAAGCAGCGATGGCTTGCTTGGGTAGATGGAGAAACCTTATTTTAAATAAAGCCTTCCTAAGTTGAATTGGCGTCTCCTGGAAAACTCACAAATTTTGACTTCTAAAAACTAGCACAGTCCCTGAGAATTTCTTTGCAATGATCGTGTATGCTAAATGTCTTTACATGTCTTGCCATGGTTCTAAAACTTGGAGAAAGACTGCTGCCTTTCTGTGCTTTTCCTAAGGGTGAATTATGAAGGGTTTTTTTTTCAGTGAAGAATGTGCTACAAAAGCACAAGTACCAAAAATAAAATTCAGTATCATGTTACTATTTATTTTTGTTCTTTGCCTTTCTCTCTAGGTTTTCTTTAGATACAACAAGAATAGGAGAGTGGATAATGCATATGCTTTGTAAAGTCCAAAATGTCATGCCAAACAAACTTATGTTTCTTTGCTCAAAACACTTTGCATCCTCTTGTTTTGACCTAACTGGACAAAATTCATGACTTAGAATAGATACCTTTCCAATGACTTGATTTCATACAAAACTCAGGGTGGAGTAATGGAATGCATATATCATCTCCTAAATTTCTCTTAATTTTTTTCAATTTAAAACAAAGTGGATTTATTGTGGTTTAACCTGGCAGGCTCTTTGCTCTCTCCCCCCAGTGGGATGGGGAAGAGAATTGGGAAAAAATAAAGTAAGATTTGTGGGGCGAGATAAAGACAGTTTTATAGGACAGAAAAGGAAGGGGAAAAAACAATAATAATAGACAAAATGAGCAATGCACAATTGCTCAGCAGCCCCCTGGCCAACTTTCCCCTAGTTTATTTAACGAGCATGACGTCATATGGTATGGAATACCCCTTTGGCGGTTTGGGTCAGCTGTCCTGGCTGTGCCCCCTCTCAACTTCTTGTGCACCTCCAGCCTCCTCAGTCTGTAGAGCGTAAGAAGCTGAAAAGTCCTTGACTAGGGTAAGCACTGCTTAGCAAAAACTAAAACATCAGGGTGTTATCAACATTCTTCTGGTACTAAATCCAAAACACAGCACTATACCAGCTGCTAGGAAGAAAATTAAGTCTACCCCAGCTGAAACCAGGACGTGATTCTATTAAGATGTCTACAAGGAAGAATGAAGCAAGTTAAAAGTTAGCATTTTCTTTTTTTTTTTTTTTACAGGTATCCATCATACTACAGTAGTGTGTTATTTGTGTCAGTTCTTATATTCAAACAGATGTTGCCTCTAGAAATCATGCTTCATCGGTGGCTTATACTATTTTACGTATCCCACAGTCCTAAAAACATCCACAGAGGGCTAGCAGATATGACACAGGACCTACTGAAAACTTTCTGAAGTGGCAGCTGGAGGTCGGGCAGGTTTCTTAAACAGCGCTAGGAGCCTACCTCCACGTCCGAAATCTGATCTGTTGTAGTTAACAAAGAAGTTTCAGTATCACTATACCTAAGCTGCAGAAATTGCCCTCCCAGGAGGCATTTGCTTACTTGGGCATCTCAGAGCTTTGCATATCATCTGGTTCCGGTTTCCGTTGTAAAATTGCCTTTATTTCTTAAGTGTTTTCACACGCCAGTAGGAAATTATTATCAGCACCTTTCAGAGTGGGAAGAAAAATGTTAATAGAACTGTAAGGACTGGCAAAGCAGCAACAGCTCTATGGGAAATTAACCTGATGTGTCTATTCCCACTCTGTTGTTACTGTATGTTTGCCTAAATTTCATCCAACAAGTGTGCTCAATTTATTCAACAATGCTACATGACCTGTATGATAAATTTCTAGCTGAGATACTTAACCATCTGAAAAAGGAGATCCTGAGAATCTTCCAGTGTTTTTTGCGTGTCCTGTGGTATCATATGTCCCTTCTTTTATTTCAGTCATCTGATACTGCCTGCTTTTTTCTTTTGTCTAGGGTTATCAGGCAAGTAACTTTATGTCTAAATTTCCAGGAAGAAGTGGGTTCATCAGCTGTATTCATCACTGTTAACAAACAGGGAAATTCATAGTGTTACGTTGTCTTCTGTAAAGGGAATAAAAAGTCATGCGTAAAAAGGATGTGTTGATCTGCTGATTTTGGTATCTACCTATTTGAATGAGAGGCCATAAACATTTGAAAACTGCGAGACCTGCCATTCAAAGAGAAAACGTTGAGAAACTTCCTTGCTTATGGCATGGGTAATAGATGAAAAATTTTTTGGTGAGGTTTCACTGGAATTTGTAAATTTAAAACAAAATCCAAAGTAAAGAGATTTTATCTTCGCTGCATTTTACTTCATTTCTCTTTGAAAGAGATCTGATATTGCTGCTAGAGCACAAATTTTTGTGTTAAATACTGAATATGTTTTCAGTAAAATACAGATGGAATAATTTGAAATATAGGAAAGCGTATGTCTTAATACTGGAGCACAGAATTTGATTTATTCTTTATCATGTTCCCTGAATATTATCTGTACCTCTAGACATGGGCAAAAAAGCACTGGAGAAATAGCATGTTTGTGAAGATGCAATTGTATTGCTGAAATTTGCGTACATAGGCAGCTAAGACTCACTGAATTGAAAGATTTCTTCAAAATCCCTTTCTGCAACTCAGCTCACGCTGTTGGTAACAAGTTCTGTATTGAAAGGTAAATAGCAAAGCTCATGGGATGGTTACACAGCTTTAATACAACTAAGGCTCATTTGCATATTTTACAAATGTGAACTACAACCATTAGTGCAGCTATCCAAATCCTAGCCATATTATTTCTGTTAAAATATTTAAATATCCCCAATGTAAAAAATTACTGTATTCTCATTTTCTTATGATATGTGTCTCATGCTCTTTATCCAGAGCTGAAAACCAGCGCTGGAGTTAGTGATCTCAGTGTTATTTTTGCTTTAAGTGACCACATTTCTGGTCCAGCAAACATTAAAAGGATCACATTTTCAAAGTTTGAGGCAGAAAATTAGTAACATGTTTACCACATAAAGTACATGAAATTACTACAAGTAAAGCGGAATCCTGTGGAGACAGTAAGATCGAATAAAAGAATGAAGAATCACATTCAAACAGAAGGCAGAGCTGCACAATGATAGATCGAAATACTTGTCTCACCAGAGGCTTAAAATCAAATAGTATTTCACCAAGCGATGTACCTGAGCAAATTATATTAAATGCCTTAAGGAATCTTCCCTTGGATGAGTTAAAAATACAAGAGAAAAGTATGAGATATTTGTATGAGATATGAGATTAAAATGAGATACTTTGCAGAAGAAAATTTAGAAAGGCTTTTCAAATCAAAAAGTACCTGTAATCTTTACTTTGGTATTTATGTCAATGCTGTGCTAATGCTATGTTAATGCTAAAATATGAATCAGTCACATTGATATGCTCTCAGACATTCACTCAGTGATGAGAAAAATCTCCTTTTTATGACTGTTTAATTATTCAATACCTCTCAGTTGCTACGAAGACATCTTTAAAATCTGGAAGATGTTAAAATGTGATTTTGGTTTTTCACCTCAGGTAATAACAGTGTCTGATGGAAGAGCTGGTTCTGTGAGTTCAGTCTTTCTCAAAGTGCATACAAGAAGCTTTTTTCTTTTGGAAGAGGCTTTATTTTTAGGAACATAAAATAATCGCTGCAGATAGCTTCAGATGGAACACAAGTAGCAGTTAACTTCCTCCTGTTAGATGTTGGTAAAAAGAATGGCAGTTTCCCCTAGGGAACCTCAGCGCCCTTTCCTTTGTCCCCTGAGATTTACAATCGAGGATCCTGTGTTGGTACTTGAGGCTCTACACAAGCCTCTCTGCAAGGACTCACAGAAATGAATGGCATTTTGAGAAGAAAGCAAGCAAGGTCAGAACCTGAACCATAGACCCCATGCCCTCTTCGAGGCAAAGACGACTGTTGGCTTTTTCTGTCGAGTTTGTATTGTACTTGTACATCTACTCCCAGGTTAGCCCCAAAGACTGCGCTGAGCGTGTAAGGCTTTTTTTTGCCCTTTGATGGGACGATTGGCCTTCCTTAATTCTTCAGATTGTGTACATGGTTGATCAAAATAAAGAACTAGAAAGACCTTGTAGGGTTTTCCTTTCATTTCCCATTCTACCATATGCATTTATTTTTACTAATTAAAAATATCTTTGAGTTTAATTCCTCTACAGGTAAAAGATTGAGAGAGTTATTATTTATAGTATGTGGACGCTACAGCCAATTTCATGTTAGAGACATTTAACAGGTCAAATATCTAGTCATTTTTTACCCTTTAACAGGTGTGCAAGTACATATGTGGATGATTAAGTGCAACAATTTCCACTATTTTAGTATTTTCATGTTTTTCCTAAATGGTTTTTAAATACTTTGAATATTCCTTAAAACAGAAAATCTGAATCTAAGGGCTCTAATTAGCATGATTTAAAATAATATAAACAATTGTACCTTTTCTATTTGACAGGTAAATACTGCCGTGGGTTGGATTGCACACAGAATGTTGGAAGAAGAAAGAAGTGAAAAAAATAAACCTCTCATTAACTTCACCCGAGACATTTTTTTTCCGATGAGATGGGTGAAATTGTACTATAGCATTTTTATCTACATCAAGGTACAGTATCTTTCTTTTTGTTACAAACACTTTAGAAACATATAGAAGCAATGCCCTACTATGTCCTGCAGCTTTTCTCCATTCTTAAAACTCCTCAATATAACCATTTTTAAAGTAGTATTGTCTACAGCCTATACTCAGAGCAAAGGATAATGAAATTGGTCTCGGACACAAGTCGTAAGTTAGTTGTTGCAACAATAAAAGAGCCTTTAATAAACATCTTTTTGGCTGGAGGAAATGAAGCGTTACAAGAGGGTGCTTGTTTATTTGCATTGGTCACAAGTGAAGATTTGAGCTGTTGGAGACACAGGGTAGGAGTAGTAACTCTTCCTTTTTGACCATGAAAGAAAGTTTTCTTCATCTTAACCTGCCCTTGGGAACTGTGAGTATTTCTGGATGACTGAGACTGCATTTTGTTCACTAGGAAATAAATTACTTATTTCATTTTACATGAATTCTCCATACTACTTAAATAGTAATTTTTCAAGTACAAATACTGCAGAATCTATTACTATTTTGACAAAATGCTTTTCAAGTAAACCAGTTTCACTAGTGTTGCACCAGTTCCACTGGTGTTGCACTGCATTGGGTTACATGGCAAGGTTTTGGTAGCAGGGGGGCTGCAGGGGTGGCTTCTGTGAGAAGATACCAGAAGCTGTCCCCATATCAGACCGAGCCAGTTCCAGCCAGCTCCAAGACAGATGCACCACTGGCCAAAGATGAGCGATGTTGGTAGCACCCCTGTGATAACGTATTCAAGAAAGTGTTACAATTATTGGGTTGTTTTGCATTGGATGCATCCTTTTAAATGTGTTCACTCAAATCACAAATGGTTTCAGAATTGTCTAGGATAGAGATAAAACATTATTTTCCAATTAAGGTGGATATTTTGCCCTTATGAGCCAGCACAATCAAGTGTTAACCTGTTTTGAAGGGGGACTGTATGGATAGTGGTAATTTCAGTCATTATGTGGTAAGAAGAATCTGCAGTGTTATTACCAATTTGCTTTAAATAATAGCTGATAATTTTTTTAATGGTTCTCGCCACCTCATACATGGGAAGCATAACAGTCCCAAATTTTTCATGCTCTGAGATAGCTTGCCTTTTCTGAGAATATTCAGAGGGGAGAGAAGACAGATGTTGAACAGCTGGGGTTATATACCCAATATAACATAATTCAAACCAATCCCATTGGAGCCACAGGTATGCTACTATACCACGAATGAAATAGGCTCCCAAGTAAGTATGTATAGAAGATGATGTCAACTCACAGTTTTGTGAATTATCAAATAAATGTCTAGTATCATTCTGACAATTAATAGTTTTGGTACAATTACTTTGTCCCATGTAGCATGTTGCATTTGCTTTCAGGTAACAAGTGTTGCCAGGATCAACTAATCCCAGGTGATGGGTAGGAGTTGGAGCTTCACACACACCCATACTGGATCAATTTGGATCAGTTCCCATTTATTGTCAGTGGGGACAATCTTGGACAAGAAATTTCTGCCCTCTGGGGATTCCAGACTGGTCTTTCTAAAGATGAATTACATGCCCTAGGAAGCATTGTGACACCTTCACTAGAGTGATAAGGGATATGGCAACACACCCAACATTTTGAAACATCTGTGTCTTTAGCATAATGGTAGGCCAACTGAAGAAAGATGTTTTAATAGTTTATGTGATGATATAAAGACTTTCAACTCTTGGAGGACAGAGCATCTTTGTGGGTTCTATTCTGTGGATCTTGAGTTGTCTGTCTGACTGTCTGTCACCTCAGTGTAGACACAAGTCTCCACGTTCCCAAGAATGGCACATTCAGAGGCACATTCTGGAAGGGATGCTTTTACCTGGGAGTGAATAGTCCTCACACATTTCATTGCAGCCTTGCAGTAATTCAGCACAACATCATCAGTCATCTGTAGCCTGGATCAATGAATGCAGTGGCTTATGTGGGGTATGCAGTAACCTTACAGGTTTACGCATTACAATTTCATATGGGGATAGTGCATGTTTTTTTATTCACAGTGCTCTTGATGTGTGTTAGGGCCAATGGTAAAGTGTTTGGCCATTTATGGCCAGTTTCTTCACACGTTTTGGCCAGGCTAGCTAGTTTTAAAACAGAATTTTTCCTTTCAACAGCTTTACAGCTGTTAGATTCCTAGGGCTTTTACCAACCACATGGGCAACTGTGAAATGAGTCCCCTGGTCACTGTGTAGTACAAGGGATATATTCCAAAACAAAGCATTCTCTTGGTGACAGTAGTAGCATCTGCATGTCTACATGAGTAGACCTCTACCCGCCCTGAGAACGTGATTATGATTACAAGAGTGTATTTGTAGTTACAGCGTTCTGGCATCTGTATAAAATCCATTTGTAGATTTACAAAGGAACCCCATGGGTTTGGGTGTGCTGCAGCTTTGGGTTTGACCCTTTGTCTGATGTTATGGGCCAAACAAACAGGACAAGTGCTGCAGTATCATTGTGCTGTTACAGAGTAATTTGGAGCAAACCAATCTGCTGCAATCACACACCCCCCCCCCCATGTGCCAGTGCAAGCCACCAGGTGGGTCACACCAGCAAGGTAAGGGAGGAGAACCTGAGGTGCAATGAGGTGGCCATCCAGGGAGCACCGCAAGGAATCGAGGTGTAACTGGCAGCCCTGGCACAGCCAGGCAGCGTATTTGTCCTGCAGAACTGGGTACTGTAAAATAGAGTTCTGAAAGAGAACTAGGTGGTGATTGCTCTGTGGAAAGGCTGATGAGAGCATGTTCAGGAGCGTGCCGGCCAGAAAGGCCCACTGTCCTTGCTGATTGATCAGTTAAGGCATTTTCTTGTGTGATATTTAGCATTTTACTATTGCTAAAAGAGGGTAATAGCAATGCTAGCAGAAGAGCTTCAACATAGCAGTCGTTCTGAGTAGGAATGCCAGACAGTGTTAAGCTGAGTTGTGTTTCAGTTGTGCACAACCTGAAAGGCATATGGGGAATTGGTATAAACAGTGGCTGGTTGCCCTTGTGCACGTACAGAGGCAGGACTCAGGACAACAAGTTCTGCAATTTGTGCTGAAAAGATGGTTGGCAATGAATAAGCTTCTGGAGCATTGGTAGAAATACAAACACTGCACCCTGCAGCTGGATGCCCCATGGAGCCATAGGGCCAGGACCCAACTACAAAAAGGATGATGTCTGGCTTCTGTAGGGGAACATCTCTGAGGTCATGGAGGGGTACCAGGAGTTGTTCTGTGACAGAAAGATAGTCGTCGTGGTCTCCATCAGCAGGGGCACGACATAATGCTGCAGGGCAGAACAGCAAGAGAAATGTTGGCTGCTGACAGGAGTTGTTTTCACTGGAAAGTATGTCTGTGTGAGTTGGAAATGTGCTGGGGTTTCCCTTTTAAAAGGTGGGCTGCAACAGGGTGGGGAACAGCAACAGCTAGGGGATGACCCAGGACCAGAGAACCCATGGGGTTTTTTTGGTTAAAAAAAACAGCACCAGTGACTTTCTGGGATTTCTTTTGTTTGGGATTTGTTTTGTTTTTTCCATTGGATGTCTTTTCATACCAGCTGAAAAAGACATCCCATTAGACCTGGATCACCACATGGCCTGAGTATTTATACTATTAAACATATCAACAAGGGAGCCAGACTTTCAAAAATTAATGCCTTATAAAAGTTACATTAAAAGAAAAGGTACACATCTTCCTTCTCAGCTGGTAGCTGTGAAAAGTGTTGGGATTGCAGTCCTGGAGATTTAAACTGATATATAAAGAGGTGTGAGATGACCATCAGTGCCAGGACAATTTTTTCAGCTTTTCTTGAGCACTTTACTGTTACTCTTCACCCTAATCTGAACTATCAATATGTAGGAAAATTCAAGAATTTGAAGTGTTCTGTCTGGCTCCAAACATCTCTTCTTTACACTATCTTCAGGAAAGCTCAGGAATCTTAACTCATCAAGAGAACAGAAGTGGAAGGGGATGATATTCACAAAAGCTCAAATGTAAAGCACAGAAGGCTAACATTTGACTTTGTGCTGCTAAGTAAGCGGGCTTGGGTCGAGTCCCTGGCCTCAAAGCCAACCTGTGCTTAGGACTAGCCCACTCTCTAGGGACCTCCTGGAAACAGCTAGTTGGAGCAGTCCAAATACAGCTGGAGAGTAAGTTTACAATTAAGCAGGGTCGATTACAGAGAGGTCAGTGCTTCAGCTGCAGCCAGGTCCTGTTTATTTATTTAGCAGCATAAATTTATTGCCAAGGTCTTCTCTTAGTTAACAGAGAAAGAAAAATTTCTCTACCAGTTGTTTCAGTTCACCTGATGCCAATTGACTTCAGAGGGGGGACACATAGCAGAAATCTTGTGTTAATTAATAGGAGGAGAGTGGCTTCCATAGGCTGAACTTAACTTTTATATATACAACACAAGTGTCCTAAGACAATGAATCCATGAACATCAGACCCTTAACCATCTTTGCAGAAGTGTTAGTACCTTAATCCAGCCAGCGGCTACCAGTGGCCTGATTGCCATATAGACAACTTTTCATTACTACTTACCTTTCAGATCTGAGAATTTTCTAGTGAAACTGTAAGATCAGTTTTCAGAAAAAAAAACCTTAGAAGCTCTATTGTGTGGAAGTACTGACTCATCCAGACTTCTCAAGTTCCTCATTTGCAAGAGAGAAATCTAAAGCCTTTGATGAAAGTTTGAATTTTTAGGCAAAAATAGGGGATTTTTATGCAAGTACTTTACTCACAGAGACATTAAACATCTAAGATGAATTCCAGATAGTTGAACAGACTTACAAGTGGGAGGCTCAAAGAATTAACACAAAAGCAGGCTGGGTGAAGGCTCAAGACAGAAGAATGCAAAATGTTATCAGAAAAATCATCATCCATTCTACTAAAATAATCATGGATGTTAAAAATACTCACTTTTTATTTAAGTCTTCAGATTTCTCCTAAGAAGATTTTGTTTCAATCTAAGTCATTCTCCCTTCTGCATTCGTATTACCCAATGTCATCAAGAAAAAATATGAACGGTAGCAAGACTTGGCAGCCGTGAGATAACCTCCTGTTGTTACGGTGATGTCCTAGATTTGCCAAAACTGAAATACCTCAGATTTATGTGAAAAAGCAGAGCACCAAGTTTTGTTATGACCATGCTAAGGAATAAATACAGATTCCTTTCACAGATTAAGAATGCATCTTTTTTTTTTCACAGCTAGTCAAAAATAGTGTCTTTTCTGAGATTAAAACAGTGGTGCCCTAGAGTGTTATGTACCGCGATAGGGCATTCTGGAACTTCAATACCAATTTATGACACTGGGTGGATCTCTGAAGTCAGGAGAACAAGAAAAGAAATCACTGTCTTGGCATGAGAAGAGTGGATTGGGCTCCACCCTGTTTGTTAGTGTCTTGATTTCTCCATTTTCCATCTGCTTCATGACAGGATGATTTGCTGTGGCATCACTGTACTGTTTGTCACTGAAAGAATAGGAATTAATTATCATTGCAAAGCAGCAGAAAAGGCAGTTAAATCTTCCTTCTGACGAGAAACTTCAGTTGCTGGAAATGTTGGGAATCTGCAGTTCTTCGCCATAGGACTTAAACTCATCTTGCTTTTGAAATACTTTTTGTGCGCCAATTCTACTGAATCTGGACTGAACAGAAGTCTTGAAAGGTAAGGGATATTTCTGCTTAACTTTTGAGCGTGCGTTGTTATAGCCACCTCTTTTAGGTAAAACTTTCCTCCCTTACTCTCTAGTTCTGGTTTTCCAGGATGTCATCACATTTCTTACATAATTATCCAGTTTCTGAAGCGAAAAAGTCTACAAGTCCTTAGCAGTGTTTGAAGTTAGGTGTGCAGGTCTTTGTCCTGGGCGAACCAGAACTAAAATTCGGTATTGCCAATATCAAAAGTATTGTATTTCCATGAGTAAAGTACTTAATGATACAAAAATTGTTCTTTATTAAAAAGCAAATCTCCTGAAATCCAGTTTGTTGGCCACAGAGAACTTGCTGCTTTCTTCTATCTGCAAAATGTGGCTAAATCTGTAGTGTGCTTAATGAGTGTGTTATCCTCTAATATATACCTCTCCAAGGAAATAGCATTTATCTGGTTTAACAGAAAATTGAACATCTGTCCGGATACTACACAACATGTAGTTTTTCAGATATAACCTTACAAGTACGTATTTACAATCTACTGTAAATCTAAGAATTATGGTTTTTAATTTATACTATAAACTTTATGCCTTTATCATAATGCTGCAGTGTAGGTAACAAAAATAACCCTCTTTAAGAAACACATCAGACACGATTGTTGTCTGCAGTAGTTTTAATAGGCTGTTACTAATGTGTAGGGTCTTCTGTGTCCTGAGACCAAATTGATACAAGGCTTCTATGATGTATGAAATGCGTGGAAGGTCCCACAGTGCTATAGATTTCAATCCGGGTACACCCCCCAGCTGGTTAATTGCTGCATGAACTTTTCTTACAGTTTCTTTTGTAGTTCTTGAGGTAAGCGTTGAAGGATGATTTTATTGTTTATTTTATTACAGGATCCAGAGACTCTGCTTGGGGCTTACAGCATCTTTTACAAATGCTTAATAAAATGTTCAATATAACATTTCATTATGTATGAAAGAACTGGCAGATCAACTGGTTTTATGTTGATCTTGATTAAGTTTCCCATGGGGTCTGGAACGAGATGTTTACCAGTATTATTTCCCTCCCTTAAACTGTGCCAAAACGTAATGTTTGTGAAGTTTTTTAACCTCTTATGATTTAATGGCTATAGAAATACAAAATATGTTCTACTAATTCAGAGAGACAGAATCCCCTCAGTACTTAAGCTGTGTCTTCATAATTGATGCTCCTGCCTCACAGATGCGTATAACATCCAGCCATAATGTTACACTAATAGTGCCTTCATACCATAATTAATTCAGTTTAAAATTCAGATTGCTTTTGATACTTCACTTTCAGCTATCCCATACTTTTAGTAACCTAAAAAAAAGTGAAATAAAGTTGCTTTGAAGTTGATTTAAGAGGCATTTTACATGCATCACTAGATTTTATATAATGGGTTATAAATTTAAGCTAAGAATATGTAACTGCAGTAAAGAGTTGTGAAAGCTATGTTTCTATACTTCCCTAGTCAGACCTGAATTTAGTACATATGCAGTAACCTCTATTGTACCTCTAATCTTAAGTTAACTGAAACAAATACAAATGAAGACTACATTCAAGATGGAGGAAGTGAAGAGATAACTACTTTATTTCTTCTATCAGAACTACCAGGAGCACACCAGTATTCATCATATGATTCAACTGAAATGAACACACTTATCACTGGAAATGTGACTTTAATCCATGCATCTAATATCAGTCCAAACTGTAATGGCTTAGACAACTAAAGCAAAATGTATTAGCAGGGACAGTGCCTTGGTCCTCTCTTCTTTGCTGTCATCTGTCTTTATCAGCTCAGCAAAGGCTGGCTTTGTGGCCCATAGCTTTGCTGTCTAGTAAGTACCTTCCACTTGGTTTAAAGGAGATATATCTACAAGGTAAAGGCAACCTGAACTCAGGCATTTTGTGATTTACCACAAATGAAAACATTTGTCACTAATAAAAAATACCACTTCCACTTATTTCTCAGAAGCGATTAAAAACAATTGTCAAGTGGAAATTTAATAAGGAACAAGCAGCAAAAAAGTAAAGAAAAGAAAATAAATGCATTTAAGTGGTGTTTGAGAACCAATCTCTCCTTTAATAAAAAGCAATTGTCACTGTAAGTCTGCTTTTGAAATAATAATGATTGAGAAAATACATCTGTTTGATGGTGTTAACAGCATCTACTTTGAGTTTTTGGGTCAGACCAGCACATTGTATCACCACATCTTCACTGACTTGCGTGGCATTGCAGCATCGTACAGCCACAAAGGGTTCATCCCAGAATTTATATAAGTCTGGTTTGTTGCAAAAACATCCTGCCCTCCTTCACATCGAAAAGGCAGAGAACCGGAGCCACTATAGCTTAGAGCAACTGAAAAAAATGTTGGGAAAAGGGAGTAGGTCGAGATATGAAGTTATGCCCTGATTAGAGACTTGGCAGGTGAAACACTACCACCCGTGGATTACACTGGCAGAGTTCAGTGTAAAACAAACAGCCATAGTGTAGTTCCATGCTAGTTCCATCTAGTTCAGATGCAGGTAAAAACATGATGAGCAACTGCTTGAAAAGTCTTAGTTAAAAGCTATTTACACAGACACAGTATTTTGGTACTTCAGCCACTGCTCAAGGAAAGCATAGTCTACCATTCTATTAACGAGATTATTTCTGAAATGTGAGTCACATATTTCCCATCTTCCAACGGGTTGTAGAGTGGTCTACTTTTTGAGCCCCTACAGCGAAATACAAATTCAACAAATAGTTGGACTTGATAGGCTGTCGGTGTGGCTTCTCTATCAAGAAGGAACGTTTAGGAATTTTACAAACTTTCTTTTTTTCCTTTTGGGAAATCAGAACATACTGGTTTTGACTAATTTTTTGTTGCAAAGGTCCTGAAGTCAGAACAGAATATGGACAAAATTCTTGTAACATGGACATCCCTTACAAGGGCTAGTAGTCTGATGGTTGGAGTACTCAGTTACAAATAGTAAACCCACTTTCAATCCTTGTTCTGCTTAATTCTGTAAAGATGAGTAAAGACCAGTAAACACCGTTCTTCTGCATTCCCAGTGATTTCCAAGCCATTAAATCATTTGGAGGTCAATCACTTGATTTAATTTTTTTGGTGAAACTGTCATGTCTGCAGCCAAAAATCTCTTTCCGAGCTCAGTTCATTCTTGCTGACAAGAAGGCAAAAAAAGGGATTTTCTCTCTTTGCATTTAAGTCTGAAAATTGGTGTCGAGGTGTGCTTGCGCATCCACTTTGCACTTGTGCTTCCACTCATCATATTGTCACCTCTGCCTTCCTACCAATGTCTTTCTTCTTGCTGGTATCATTCAACAAAGCTTTTTCTACATCTTCTTCTGCTTGAGGGTTCTTCCCATGTTCCAGTCTATCTCCACTGGTGTTTCCCAGGCATCCTGCCTGCCATTCTTTCCTTTGCAGCCCTCTTTTTTGCCCTAGACTTCTTATTAATTTACTTTTTTACCTAAAGCCACCAATTTTCTTTTATACCTCACAGTTTCATAGCTATAATTTTACAGCTCAACAATTTCATAGCTCCCATCTGCCCTTCCTCTGGACTGCATTTTCAAGTATTTTCCTTTTAAAGAACATGTCTTCATAGATATTTGGGCACCCATTTCCAACTGAAATCAATGTGAGCTTGGCACAGCTGTAAGAATCCAGGCCTAGTCACTAATAACCTGAAGAACAATATTTTTTACTAAGACTTTTTTCCATATCTAGATTTAGCTTTGGTTCACTCCCCCTCCCCCAGTATCTCTTACAAATTATTTTAAACATGGTAAAAGGTCAGTCATCTTAAATCTTGAGCAGAATTTACCAGAATTCTCCAATTCTGCTAAATACCCTAGAGGTAAATGTGACGTACTTCTTTTGCTGAAAATCTTAAATCTAACAATTTGATCAATGTAGAAAAAATATATATGTGCGTCGTTCTATCACTTCTTCACAGTCTGCCTAAACAGGTCAAACTTCTGATTTGAATCATGTATGACAAGCCACACCCACTTGTGTTGAGGCAGATGGGGAAGGACATGTTTTCACAGGCTAAAAATGTAACATAATGATTCTGAATCATGTTAAAGTTATCTGAATCTAAAAGCCAGCCAGTCCTGTTGCCTTGCATAGCTATTATTCTGTCAACATAGACTATGCTTTACCTAACAAGATGATACAGAACAACAATGCAGCTTTGACCGCCAGTCCCGTGGTTGTTCTCATCCACCATATGTTGGTATTCATTTCTCAAAGCAGTTTAGGTGTCTGTGAGCTTGATTGCTCCTGGAGTAGCCTAGCCTCCCAGTTTCCCTTGAGATACACTCAAAGGCTTGAGGGGTCTGACCCCACATGAGGACCATGCCACCGCAAAGTCCTGCAGGACGGATGCTCTCACGCAGGGCAGAGCTCTCAAACACCCTGGGTCCATCTGATGCTCTAGAGAGCCAAATGCCATGGGACCATTTGCCTCAGCTGCCAGCTCTCAATTCTTTCTTGAAACTCTGCTGATCCTTCCTCAATCAGCTACACGCCTTGTGCATAGTCCTTTCCTATCTTTACCTGCCTTAATTCCTGTTACTCTTCCCCACTGCAGAACCCTTTATTTTTTATTACCTTATTTTTACAGTCTAGTTCAATCTCTTTAACTTTCCCAATATGTGAAATGCCTTCCACCTCCCAGAAATCCAACAACAACATTACTTGTTCATCTGAAAGTGACAAAGGTGTCACGAAAACAATCAGATAACTCAGCAACAGTGCCAGGAGGTTGCTAACCTCATGACTGCTACCAAATACGAGAGGATCAGTGAGCAATAATTTATTAGATTTAAAGCAGGTGGTCTTCTCAAAGAACTTCTCAAAGAACTGAACACTCCAGCGGGGTGTGTCTTGGGCTGGGCACTGGATGGTAATGTGGATCCCCTCAACGCTCTCTCACTTTTCAGGAACTTAAAAGGACCAAAGGACAGTAAGTTCACTGATGGGACTCAGAACCATTATTCAAACCAAGAGTGTCTCATGAATGGCCTTGAAGACTTTGATCACTGTTTTGCCTACAGTGGACTTGCCTACGTAAAGCTGCTTAGCCACTGATTAGTAG